TTCAATTTCAATAGGGTGATCGAGTTATATATTCTTCGAACGATAAATTTATGGGGAGAGGAGGGGGGATAGGAATTGTTATATATCATCGAAGATTCTCATTTACTTGGAATAAATTTCTGTATTAATCTCGATTCCAATGATTAATTGGAACCGAGAGTATTATTTTTTTTTGTCGACGTTGATTGAACGTAAAACGAAATAAAGTTGAACGAAAGAACGCGAGGGAGGGAAAAACGCGATTTTCGATAGGTTGTTTTTCAATTAGAGGATACTTCGTTTTCGCCAGAAATTTGCCTCTTCATTAGTAACTCGTTCAGCTTCTATTTTCTCTCTAATCAACCATGTTCCGGGATCATCGGGTCGAGTGTTCGATGTAAAATGCTTGAAAATAAATAAATAAATAAATAAATAAAAAATGAATTTAATTGCCCTTTATTATACCAGGGGATCTTTATTATCACAGCGGCCACTCCAATAAAAATCCACCGAGGCAAATTTACGCGGCCGTTAATTCAAACGGAAAATTCATGACAGAGAACAACTTCCGACTCGTTCGCCATTTACGGAATTTATTAAAGCAATTTTTTATTTTCCAACTCGACACCCCGTTGTTCTTCTCGCACGAGAATATAACGAGTTACTGCCTCGTCGTTGATTTTTCGTATATCTACTTTACATCAGAAATATTAATTCGTTTATCGAATCTATCTTCCTTGTATCGAGATTAGGACATCAGGTCTCAAAAAAAAAAAAAAAAAAAGAAAAAATTTCAAAAGCCAAAGATAAAAAGGTTGAAAGATACAAATACGAATCTTTAAAAAAAAAAAAAAAAAGAACAAAATTAAAAATTCAACCAAGATAGGCCAAAAATATTAAGTAAATTTATATACTCGTACGAGTATATATACAATACAACCATCGAAACGTTCTTTTTTTTTTTTTTTTTTTTTTCACGTCAACGACATCACGTCGCGTCGCGAGAACACGGCGTTTCGCATTCAAACCGTGTACGCGGCATTTTTATCTAACCCGTGAGGATGTCTCGCGGCAAGACAAGCGGGAATTACGTATGTGATACGCGTGGGTCGGTGTAAATCAAGGGGAACGATAGCTATCGATCGTCGACGTTCGCTCGACAGTCGCATCCTTGGTATCCTTTTCATACACGGCTCGCGTGAAAACTCTACCCATGGAACACGCCCCTTTCTTCGTTTGTCACGGTTTCGGTGCTATTTAGTCACGCCAAATGACGGTTCCCTGTCTGTGAATCGGGCCTTGAACGACGCGGATTGAAAAGCAATTCGAATCCCGCCCCAGGAAATATCATTTTTTTTTTACAACTCGTTTAGTTAGAGTCAGGTGCAGCTATATTTACGAGACGTTGAATTTGCATACTCGTGTTGCATTACATTATTGCGTTCGAGATACCAGGATACCAGCAGTGGAGAAATTAAACTAAACAATTCTCTTACTTCTGTTCGATTATATACGATAACGTATATATGCGTGTATCTGCTTCGAAAGGAGAAAAGTATATAAAAGTAAAATATACGCGTGAAATAATTATTTGAATTTTTCCACCATCGAACGAAGCGGATCTCATCTCATGTTTTCGTTAAATCGAATGATCGATGTTCCACTACTTTGATCTACTGAAATTGCAATTTCATATCGCTGACATTTCGCTGCAATTTGCGCGCGTCCTCTGCCGATTACGGGGAACAATTATGCGAAATTCAGTTCATTATACGTCGATCAGGGAATAATAAAATGATTATAATCGAACAATGAATGGATACTTGCCGGTGGAGGCGTAGATTAATTATTGTTTTTCGAGAGATCGTTACTTTCTTATCATAGAGAGGAATTTATTTTTGTTTAACGAAAGATATATAAATTCATCGTTTCTTCTTTATTCTGTTAACACGCCGATCGGATATTTCTCTCGGCTATTTCTCTATATAATTCGTAACGAGTAACGAGGCTTTGGAAAGCACGATGAGCAAAGGTGGTTAAACGGTGAAACGATGCTGCACCACGTGTAATGGATTAATAATCGAAACCCTTGGCGTAAATAAGTTTCGTGCAATGAGCTGTAATCGCGCTTTGATGACGGGTCCATTGAACACGATACAGTATTATATACCAATATATATTATCGATAAAGTCATGGTGATTCTGTTACATCCGAGGTCTAATCATCGCGATGACAATGAGAAGGAGAAGAGAGCAGCACGTTGCCACGAATAAATTAATTACATTTCGATTAATTCAGCTTGAAAGCGTTCTCTTTCACTGTTACGAATTAATTTATTAGGTAATTACGATTAGTTTGTATGTTCCATGAAAAATATCTTATTAAATATCATCCGAAACGAATATCGCGAAACGAGATATCAAAATATATGAAATTTTTAAATTAAATCGTGCCAATAATTATTTTTCAATGCTGCGATAAAAACGTAAATAAATAAAGCTTTTAAACCAGCGGACGATACGCCAATTCGACTAAAACGTTGAATATTACTTCGATCATACAAAGAATCATAAACTGTGTTACGAAAATTGATTTTATGAATATATATTACATCATGTTATATTATGAATGGCGAACGATTTGCATCGAAACAATAGACTCGTTTATTTTGAAGAGAAATTAATACAAAGAAAAATAATATATAACACCGATCAAATAATTCAATTAATCGATAAATACGTAGTAATAATTAAACAATCGAATCATAATTTGTACCTCCATATATTGTTCGTTTATAACGATTAAAATTAAACAAGAAAACGGACAGCGATTCTATTCTTCGAGATAAGATTCTCCGGTTTCCAATTTTATCGATAACAACTTATTAAGCGTATATCTTAAAGAAAAAAAAAAAAAATTAATTTCATTAATCGATAATGGAAACCGATTTGCACCATGTAATCGAGTGTTTGAAATTGAGAAAAAAATGGAACAAGAGGGAAAAGGGGATGATACGAATTAAATAACTGGACGGTAATAAGGGGTCAAGAATTGATGGGTTGGCGTTACGTTTCTCTAAGCGTTCGTAATAAGAAGCTTAATAATGGGAACCGGTACTGTAACGACGATAACAATCATCATAACCGTAACAGGCATAATAACCGTAATGACCAGCAGGATGCGATAATACATCGGCGTCGCAGGATTCGGTGGGTCAGGATGAAATTTGTAGCTTCGAAATGCGAGACCGTGTCTGCGCTTCTATCCTGCCATAATTCCGCATTCAGAATCGGTGGACTTCGTGGACCGATGTTAATTCACTCGAGCTTCGACTCGCTCTCTTCTCACGAATCTTGGCTTGTTTTTAATCGTCCAGATTAAACGGGGGAAGAGAATTAAGAGATGATTAAATTAAGAGATGAATCCATAGAATAATTTGGTTAATGGTTCTTTACTTAAGTTCAAACTCTAATAATTTTGAGGTTATGCCGTTAGACGTGAAGTTAGCAGGCGTTGAGGTTAGGTTATGGGGAGAAAATTTGTCATGGACGTCTACTGAAAGTCGTGTGTCGTGGTTAAGCATTGTTGCTTGACAATGGAGGCTATTCCCCTGACGTATAGCAAGATTTAGAATGTAATTCTAGGGAGTGGTTCACACACACAGTGAGATAATCGTCGACGAAATCGTACGCAATCGTTGATCCAATCCAATGCAAAATAAAAATCTGGATCGTCTTCCATTTTTTTTTTTTTTTTTTACAATGAGATTCTCTTCAACCGATTCAGAGACCGTATTCGACGAAATATCTTTGTAAGTCCTTTATTGACCGGGGCGAAGAAGAGGAAGAGGAAGAGTCGTATCGCCAGAAGCAATATCGCGACGCGAAGGAACATCCTTGGAGGCGAGGCGATGATCGATCACCTTGCGGATCGATCGGGCTCGCGTGTATCGCTAGGCTGTTCGATTGCAAGGGACAGCGGATAGGGAAACTTATCTATCCCGGGCATGGGACACAGGACAAAGGATAATAAATGGCTGTGGCTGGCTGCTTGAGCATTCGAAAAGGTAAACGGCGGCGGAGTTGCGCTTTGAGGATGAGCCGACTTTAAATCACGCTCGCTACCACCACGATGTAGATAGCTTTAGAGGCGGAGAAACCGCTCCCCCCGTTCCTTGCATCTCGAGATATCTCTATTTCCGTTGATAGGCGACGCGGCGCGCGTCCAAGTAATATCTGTCCTCGGAGACGAGCTCACGGATTCGACTACCATCGGCGAGAAAGCCGATTCAATCGTCGGCCGAGCATCGTCGATGATGATCGCTCGGCTATTTTTACACGTGGATGGTCATAATTTAAAGATTCGCTTTGAAACGCTCCCTTGAAAATTTATGGTTATGCGCGTTGTTCCGATGTTTTAAAGTCTCTGCTGATGCATTATCTATTTCTCTTTGGAAGTGAAAACTTTGAATTTTCACGGTATTTTGGGATAGAGCTTGTATGCGGATAACGAAATGGAGAGAAATGGAGGGGGAAAAAGGAAGTGGCAATAAATAAAGAGGACAAAAGAAACGAATAATTTTTTGGAAATTTTTGGAACGAGGAATAAAATTTTCCTAGAATTAATCATGACTCTTGTACATGTAAAATTCCATTCTTTCAAAACTTATATCTTTATATCTTTTTAAGGCCAATGTTAATTTTTATCTTCAAAACATTACGATTGTTTTTTTTTCCCCCTCATATGATATAAAAACGTTCCACATAAATTGCCTTCGTTTCCAAACCAATAATTCGATGTGCAAGATATACGACAATTTTTTTCCACTCCCGGATACATAGAGCGTACTATAAATCTCAGTATTTCTGATAAACGTCGATGGACGTCGTGATATTAAACGTTCGTAAGCGCGATGGTAATAAAAAATTCTTTGCCGAACAGCGTGCAAAAAAAAAAAAAAAAGTCGGGGGCAATCGATCGATTCGAGAAATTCATAAAGTGAACTGAATTCCTTGTGCAGGATCTACACAGCGTCGATCTCGAGGAATTCAAGCACGGCGGGACCAATATCACTGCCTTTCGATTAGTGGACCCGGAGAAACAGGATATACAAAAAGTCGTGCAAGATTGGATCTACGGGGAGAAGCGTTATAATCGCGAGCTCGATATGGGGCAGAACTCCAACAAGGTAGGATGAAATATTATATACACGTACGTCGCTTCGTATTACCTATTAATTAGACACAGTCGTTGCGATTAACCGTGTTACTGATTTCCGAATATTTCAGGTATATAATATTCCACCCACATCTCTCTCTCGAATTCGCGTTACAACTAATTTCCAATTTTGGTTTTTAACAAATCAGTTTCTATCATTAATTTATTATCTTCCTATTAGTTGAATTATTGAATATATGACGTTAGTAATTATATAAATGATCTCCTCTTCGTTCGATATAATATACGTACATTATATCTGTTTGAATTTAATAATGATTTAATCTTAATAAATTACATTTGCGGATCTGAGCTTCTTTAATCTCGTACGATTGATCATGTAAAAATGAAGAAAGTGTAACGATATTAATGATTCTTTAGAAAATATTCAACGCATATAGAATTGAATTTCGTTCGTTCTTTCTTCTTCAAGTATTAAAAATTCGCTTGAAATAACAAACTATAAAAAATTCATATTTACACCGTATATTTTCCATTTATTTGAACATAAATCCCTTATTAATTTTCGTTTTGCTTCTAAGGGGCAATATTATCAGGCCAATTTTAATTCCCTCTCAAACGTGAATTAACAGAAGCGCAGAGATTCGACATTCTTGGGGAGGAGGGAAGAGGGGGGTTGTTTGTTTTCTCCGCGGAACGGAAGCGCATAGTAAAATTTGCACGCGTGCACGCGTGCGAACTTAATTAGCGTCGCGACACGTCGTCAACGCGAAGGATTTTAACAGTTACAGGGTTGCGGTGTCGATGTAATTTTCTCGTTGAACGAGCCTGCTCGAACTCATCAGGCACGCCCGTATGCATGCAAATGAGAAGATCGCGAATCGAAACTGTCGCTGCCCGCTTTACACCAAACCTATATACCTCTGTAATAACGCTTTAATTTTACATTCTTCGCGCAAACCACCCTTGACAGCTGCATCGATCCTTCTTCGACGCTTCGAGACGGGCCGCATGCACCCCCTCCTCGCATCACATTTGACCGGGAATAAGTCGATTGGATCTTTGGGATATATATATATATTGTAATACGATATTACGCGTTGAAAGGTTGGCGTCGTGGGAAATTGAGTTTCTCGTAAAGTGTACAAGGGGATGTTGTAAGAAGAGTGGAAGTATCGGTAAGATGAAATGACAATTGAATTTTCGAATTCGATTCTTTATCGTCAGAAGAATAAGAAGACTTTCATCTCTTTGAGAAATTGCGATAATTCTATTGAGAGGAATTTAGCGATTCATTCTTCGTTTATTTTATTTTATTTTATTTTTTCGTTAGTAATGGCGAAGAAATTTCTTTTTTCTTTTTTGTAGCAAAAATGCATATTTAGAAGAATGTTATGTAATTTGCTACATTTCAATAATATTGTAAAGTTTCTATTTCTATGTATATTTGACGAAGTAACTTTATGATTGTGAAAAATGAAGGAAATAGAGTAGCTTTTTGTTACTTCTGTGGACTATCAAAATTCGTAGCCAATTGCGGTACTCGATTGATCGTGAGAGTTTCGTTGCGGAAATTGTCTATGCAATTTACCTACTTTCTCTTAGTGTGTTTCTCACTCTGCCACATATAAACTCGCTAACGAAATGACATCGTATTACGCGTACGTGTGTGAATGTGTAATATATATATATATATATATATACATATACGTATGTACACATGCACTTGTACTCCCATTAGATAGCCCCTATTTTCTCTGTTTGCTTCGATTGGTGAAATGCGACGAGGAGAATTACTAAAATCGATCGATGATACAATTGACCGTGGAAGAATGGTGGCTCCCCTATTCGATATTTTATTTCACATTTTATCGAGGGAATTTTCTACTTCGTAAAAGAAAAAAAAAAAAAAAAATAAAAAATAAAAAATAAAAAAACATTTTCAAATTTGTCCCTTACACATATAAAAGAGATATTTTACGTTGTTTTATTCGATAATAAAAATTTCTTTCAATTCTCGTAAAGACGTGAATAAAAATTTAATAGTTCACACTTATATCCGCTTTCATCGCTTTCCAACTATAAAAAATTTCTCATAACCTTTTTCATATCATATAAATTATATATATAATAAATATAATAAATTGTACAGTTTCTCCTTCCCTTATTCATCTCAATACATAGGATATTTCTTCTTCCAACTATCAAGCGCGAAACGCAAACAAGTTCCGGATTACGCAGTTAATTGGCGGTTGTTCGGACGAATCGTGAGCCGGCATCACGAAGGCAGATTATATCATTGCGCGCATCTGGCATGAACCGCGGAAAAGTTGAGCAGCGGATTTGGACGTTCGGCATCCCTGTGGGAAGCAACATCTGTCGCGAGCAACGCCACCGTTCCACCCCCTTAAAAAGGTTAAATTGCATCGGCGCTCTCGCACGTTCTCGCAAACTTCGAGCCAAAGTTTGTTTTTTTTTTTTTTTTGCAACCGAGTCTAGATACACCGAGACAGATACGAATTTGATCTTAACTTACTTGAATCGAAATCTAAGATATTTCCTGCGAATTTTCTTCACTCATCATTCCGAGCGTCGCAATTAGAAGATTCAACGACGAAATATCTCGTAAGATGTGATAAGGAAAATAGGAGGATATATATTTTTTCTATAGATTCAACTTTATCCAAACTTACGACACAACGAGCACAAATTTTATCACTTTATATCTATATAAATCTGTACATAAATTTTTCTTCGATTAAAATCGAAATCTAAGATATTCGATAACGAATGATATCTCGAAACGAGATCGCGAAACGCAGAGAAGATACATGTATATTTCCATAGATAAAGTTAAATCTTATCCAAAATTATGGGAAAACAGAAATTTCGTATATATATATATATCACTCTTTCTTCAATTAGACGAATATCCCGAAGGTATCCCACCTCGGTAGGGAGGGCTCTCTTTGGATAAGGCCGGGCATCGGCGATGGAAACGCGGAAAATAAGATCACACAGGTTCACCTATGAAAGCGCAAACAATTGAACGAGATCACCGGAGCCTGGCTGCTAGTGTGAGAGAGGGGTTAAATAATGGAGGCTCTCTGGAACCGCTGGAAGGCACCCCGGGGGATTCTAAGGTTGCCGAGCTTTATATCTTTTTACCTACGGCCTTTCTGCCTTTTCCTATACCCTCCATTCATTTCTTTCCCCCGTGGAGGCACGCTTGTTTGATCCCTGACCCGTTCATAACGCGAAGAAAACGACCCCCCACGGAAGTCTCTAGTCACCGATGGCCGCGCACTTGAGGATGTCCCCCTCTTTTTTCTCTTTTTGTCTCTCCCTTTTTTTCTCTTTCTTTCTTTCTCTTTTTTGTTTCCCGTCCGAAACTTCGTTAAAAATTTCGGCGCTTCTGCGATCGTTTCCTCGAAGAGGATAATCTCGTTTTCGACGAGTGAATCGGGTTTATTCTCCTTTCTCGAAAAGGAATCCTTCTTTTGTCAACGGGACAGCAATAGGTATCGATTCATGCCACGCACCCGGAAGCCGCGATAAAAAGACCCCACGTCGCGGTCACTTACAAAGACTCCTTCTTCTTCTTATGGGAAAAGGCAATCGAAGGCTGGATATTCTTCCTCGAAAGAATTTATTACGGATCGAGTTTAGCAGGATGGAAGAGAAATAGGGTAATTTTTTTAAAGCAGAGATAAAATTTGAAATCGTTTCTTCTTTGCTCTTGTATACAATCTTTCAAAATCTTCAATTTTGTTATTAATTTTAATTTCTAGGTTTGGACGGATTTTTTTTTTTTTTTTGTAACAAATTTTAATGGAGAGGAGATCCACTTTAAATATGGATTTTCTATATCTTTCCTTTAATCCAAAAGGTAAGAAAGAACATCGATCAACACCCATCAACTCTCTAACTCTCCGCTCAAAAATCGTTGCGATTGAAATTCATCGTTGCGAGAAAAGAGGAAATAATTTGCACCGGTCGACATCTCATCCATTATTGCTGGCAAGAGGGCCAGGCCACGTTCCCGCCGTGGAAAACTCCGCGAAAAAGGATATTCAAGTGGAAGTCCTTGGACGAACTTGTCTCGGGTTAGAGAGCTACTCTTCATAACTGGACTGATTTATTCATTGAACATTCGAGAAAGTTGCCGCTCGCGGAGTTCCACCCGTGACGAGAGAGAAGGATCGCGGACAACCAAAGAAATTTGTATTCTTTCCACGTACAATTAACCCGATTTATCTCGCGAGAGAGATCCTTTCCACGCTGCCTCCGATTTAAAGATCCGCGCGAAAAAAACGAGAAAAAGGAAGAAGAAAAAGAAGAAGAAGAAGAAGAAGAAAAAGAAGAAGTAAAAAGAATGATAATAAGAAGAAAATATAAAAGTAACAAAAACCGTTCTAATTTCACGAGAGAGGATTCGAAGAGGATTTCGATCGGCGTGGAGGAACAGGGCGAATGGTTCGGCGAATACGAAATCGAGATTATTGTTCGCCGTAATTCAGCTCAATTACACGGTAACAGAAAGTTGTTACTCGTGAAACGAAGGAGGGGAGGGGGGAGGGAGGGGTGGAAATGGATCGAGAGAAGGATAGAAGAGGATCGAAGATGAAAACGAGCAACGAAGGTTAGCTGTAGCTACAGCGAAGGGGGGGATATTAGCGATTCCGTACGAGTCGCCGGCTAGGCGAGCGCCGACGAGTATGTAAATACGTGCACATGGATGCGGGAAAATTGAGCGGATGTGAGTAAATGATGGTACGTGACCGATCTTGGAGCGTCGAAAGAGGAGAGAGATCGCGGTTGGAAGGAGGCGAACGCTTGCTTGGTAACCAGCTACGATACTTCGTCGAATAAAAGGAAAACAATTTTCTTTCAGAAAAGTGGAAATTGTTTTCGAAGGCGAACTCGTATATATTTCAACCCTTTCATCGGATGGATAAGGCGTCAGGAGTCGATCCATCTCGACGAAATAATTGAATAGTCTCGCGAAAATTAATTCGCGAGAATTGTTTTTCGCATTGTAATTATTTTGCGAATATATAATTCAACGAACAGAGAGATAAGTATCGTTGAAAATTAATCAGGTAGAGGCTGTTCGCGCTCGCGATAGTGTTGCTGGTGGTGCTCGATAGGTGTTTGAGTGTGTGTGTATAGAATGCTCTTCGACAGATGTCGTAACAAGTGGTATATTTTCTTAACGATAAGTGTATTACAAGTGGAATACGTGTCTGTACGAGTGCTGGGTCTCTTGTAATGTAGATGATCGTGTCGGATATCTGGTTACAAAGAAACTATCCATTTATCCACGTATCCAGCGATCAAAGTATCACGAAGCGAAGTATTAATTAAATTTTTCCTTAATTTTTAATGAAGGATTCTTCTCGCGATCTTTCCTCAAATTCGAGGAAATCTTTGGAATTAAAATCAATATCGTACGAAGATTCGATGATAATCAGAGACTAATCGTAAATCTTCTCGATCATAGAATGATGCTAGACACCACTGAGTCAATCGTGTCTGAAATACGTCATCCTTCGATTTAAGATCAGATTACATTTCTGCTAGGCTAGGATATCTTAATATGTATACAGTTTAAACATCAAAAGCAGCCATCTTAGGCAACATCATCCTAGAATTTTTTTATTTGGTTTAATGGGGTTCAGTGACCGTTAATAATGAAAGATTTTCTTCGAATACACGGCATGGCATAAATCTCGAGGCCACTTATGCTCGCGAACAGAGAGAGATCTGGAAAAGTTGATCGGAATTTAGATCGCTCGATCGATAAAAAAGAAGCTGCCAGAGTGACGGCGTAGGCCAACCGATTGAACCGAATGGAATCCGATAATAAGCACGCGTGCATTTCGTGCGTGTATTGTTTCGATAAAAATCCTCGTCCCTTTTTATCGAACAATTCGTGGAACGCCGGTTCCACAAATCGATTCACTATTCTCTCGCTATTCACCGATCGACGCCCGCCAAATTCAATTTGCCCTTCGACTGTTCCGCGAATTTCCTTTATGACCATCGGCTATTGGTGTACCTTTTGTGTAACGTCGATACGACGTTGCTCGCTCGACAAAAGAACTAAAACGTTCGATGTGGTAACTACACGTTTTCCGGAACGTTTACAGTTTTAAAGTTCTTTCCATTTCCAATATTTCGAACATTTTTACATATTGTTATTACATTTATCGTTCAACTTAGTCAAGGCTTATTTGACTTCGCGATGTTCGTATAAGTCAAGTTGCTTGTCTTTTAGTCGACGGTGCTCGTGCAAGACGAGTTATTTAATTTGACGTCATGTTTAAGCAACTCCTTTCTCGAAGCGGTACTTAATATGGTGTCAAAGGATAAATAGTAGTTTGTAGTAGTGTTTGTAATAATAAAAAAATTGCGAGTATAAAGTGTCTCGTAATAATATCGAAACAAAATGATTGAATTAATAAATTGTAACAAAATGAATTGTCAAAATTAAAATAATAAAAATGAAAATGGTTGTTTTGTTATTTTTTTTATTTTCTCTTTCTCTCATCAAACGTGTGTTGAATCCCCTTCTGTTCACTGATCTATTTGAATTTCTGTCTCCTACAAATTATTAATTTCAAATGCAAATGTCGCATCAAATTGCGGCTCAACGACCAATATTAAATGTCATTATAAATAGATAATTTTTAGAAAGTTTCGATTTTCGCTTCTACTCGGATAGAAGAGACGCCAATTTAATAAAATCGCATTAATTAAATAGGATCGCGTGCACGTGACAAATGATCAGTGTATCTTGTCGAATTACTGATAAATTAGTACGCGCGTGTTGCTATCGACAATTCTAAGTACAGGCAGGAAATGTCTGTTATTCGCCGTATTTATCCCACGATTCGTGATCATTTTCCATGATAAACGTTCTCATTTGCCGCATTCTACTCACGATTACTCGCATCGAAAGGCAATTAATTCTTGATCGAATGCGCAAAAAACATTAACAACCGTTTATTTCTAACATTTTTTCCATTTATTCCGAATGATCCCGATGAAATATGTTTCTCATAACAGTTGTTCTTCATAACAATGATAAAAACTGTTGGTTAATTTTGACACGAAATTTTTTAACAGCCCAATTTGAGCATCATTGAACGAGGGAATATTTAGAATGTCTCAACTATTTTTTTACAACGATGCAGATTTATTAAAGAAACAAATACAAATTTCTGAGACAAGAGGAAGAATCTTAGTTTTTATAATTTTAAAATAATCGAATGGTTTTCGTAAAGAAATTAATATTTATTATGAATTTTTAATTGTAATTTTACAATAATAATCGTGAAACTAAGATTTTGTAATCAAATTTTTTTAAAAATTAATATTTCGTATTTTATTATATTTATTAATATTTTGTTTCATGTTTACATGGAGCAGAACAACCTCACCTGCATAAAGGTAAGAATTATTATTTAATATTATGCAGTAGGACCATAAGTATATAAAAAAAAAAAAAAAAAANAAAAAAAAAAAAAAAATAGTATAAATTTTCATAGATATTCCAAGTTAATTATCCATCAGATTTTTTAACTTTCACTATGAAATTGACCAAATTGAAAGTATTTCGTACCCGATTGTTCATTTTATTTCATCTTCAAGCTATTAAATTATTATATTTTTTATTGTTTGTCTCAAAGAAACTGTTTGTCTCTGAAACTTGTCTTCTAGACTGAAACATCGTTAATGTACGACGCTGTGCACCTATTCGCGAAAGCGCTGCACGATTTGGATACGTCCCAGCAGATCGACATCAAGCCACTTTCCTGCGAGTCAACCGATACCTGGCCTCACGGGTATTCACTCATCAATTATATGAAAATCGTAAGTATTTAAGCTACGTGATACGATACATGAAAGATCATCCATAGCATCGCGAAAGCTAAAGCACATCTATGAAAAATAGATTTAACGTGCGCGAGGAATCTTATATTTCTCTTCTGTTCCATTTGTTCCAAAGAAAAATGGAAGAAAAATCTGTCGAGATATTCCCACGATTGTTCGACGAGAAAGACGTTCAAAGAGCGTCTGCTTTATACGATGTCGCATGTGAAAAGGGGTGTGGGAGGGGAGAGAATTCCATCGGTGCCTTAATTCTATCGCGATATCGTTGGAAAAGATCCAATCGAAAACGAGTGGAACGATGGTCCAGGAAACGATGTTCAAGTCACGATGATGACGTCCCGATGGGAGCCTATGACGTAATTGGCGTAAAGAGAAAAAGAAAAAAGAAATGGTGCAATGGGACGGAGGAAATTCTCAGATTAACTTGGTTGCTTTCGAACGTTGCAGCTATTTTTTCTTTTTTTTTTATTTTTTTCCCTCGCTTCACTCCTTTCTCGCGGGCTTTGCGATAACACTCTTCAAATCATCGCATTATTCTCGCGGGGAATAATGAAATCTCGGTAAAATTTTCAAAAAGCGTAATTTGCGACGAAATCACTTAATTTCGCGAAATTAGGGATAATTTGTCACGTTCAAGCCATTTCCGTGTAAATTCAGATTTTCATTCGCCACTTATGACTTATTATCTCGTTTCTCGTATTTTATCGAAATCGGGATTTTTTCAGCGGGGAAAAAAATGAATTTATTTGAATTTATAATTGATACGTTAACCGGCTATTCTTTCTCTCTCTTTTTTTTTTTTCACAAAAATTTTTATTTTATTCCACATTAATTTAATTATCTTTTCGTTTGAATTTATCCCAATCAAAATATATTTCGAAACTACATGTAATATATTCTTTACAATAATATAAATAATATAAAAATAATTTAACAATAAAAATCGATCCTGTTAAAAAATTCTCCCTTGCATAATTATATATTTTTTTTCGACGACCACAAAAAATATTCGTTCGAATATAAAAAAATCATAAAGATCAATTGTAAAATCAATCACGCCCAAAAACCAAACCGATTCGAACCAAACCGCAACGCAAACATTGGAAAAAAAAAAGGAGAGAAAAAAAAAAAAAAAGAATCTTCCACCAATTTACTCTTTCCTATACCTCATACATATTCACTATTCTATAACACAGTAACCAATGCATTCTCCGTTATCATCCTCGCGATCTGAAACCGGTGAACCGCGACGTCCTCGCCAACTATTTTCCGAAAAATGCATATCTGGGCACACACGCGCACATATCTGGCATTAAAACCAGAGAATATATATTCGAACGACCGACAACGATCGAGACATCTTTTTCCCAGGCGAGAGGGGGGAGAAAAAAGTCTTGGAATTGGCACGAAATATGCAAAGCAGGCTACTAGTCGAGCCGCGTGCGACCGGTCTAATTGCATCACCGCGTAATTAGAGGTTTGTCGGTGGTGGTGCGAACCGAGTTTCGAAACCGAGCTCATCGCGACAAAAACGCATCCGCGCAAATTGATATGCAACAATTCCGTTATCGATAAGTATCTTGCGAATGGTTGCTGCGTTTCGATGCGAACGCGGATAAAGAGAGAGAGGGAGAGAAAGAGAGAAAGGGAGATGGATCGAGAGATAGGAGAGGAGGGTAGTAGGTTTATCGCGCAGAAGGGGGAAATTAATTTCGCGGAATTGTGGGCATCGATCGACCGTCCCGGTAACGTAATAAGCCATTACAACGATATGTTTAATCGCACTGTCCCTCTCCGCCTACGAGATCCTGCGTTTATTAACGAACGAATACCGTCGCGTGTAAATGCAAACACGGCGCGGAATTATGGAAAGTGTGCCTTTCCATACGATCCACGCGCCACACTTGGTTCGAGAGATGTGTATTTGGTAAATTGAGAAACTTATTTGCACGTGGAAAATATTGGAGAGTGTATCGAGGAACGAGGGAAGGAGATGATTGGACCGGTATATGAATGTATATGTTTAAGGATTAGATGAATAATTAGAAGTTTAATCGAAAGTTCAGTACAGTTGATGGAAGAGGGGAGAATACTGTGACGAAATTTGTGACAATTTGTCTCGTTTAATTCCCTTTAATACCAAGATGTAAATCATCATCATATTAATTTGCGACGAATCTCTTTTAATCTTCTTTTAACTTTCGTTTCTGACACCAGATATCGTTGCATCTTGCGTTTATACTCGGATTATCCGTAGTTGGAATGATATCATAGTAAAAAAAAAGAAAGAAGAAATAGTAATTTTATTATTCTTCGAAAAAGGAAGAGGATTTTCAGTGGTGAATCAAGGAGAATCGCAAGGGTGACACGAACATTTCCCTCCAACTGTTCGCGATTGTTCGTCGAACAATGGAAAGTTACGTTCCGGGTTAAACGAAGCCGTCCTTCCGTTGACAAATTATGGTTGGTGGTTTTGCGACCGTGAATCTATGATGACGTTCGTGACGTCTACGAATCTACTAGGGACACGGTTGACCGAAGTTCAAATCCTGACCGAGTAACCCGAACTTCGAGAAGGTGAATTGAACCCTCTTGGACGGAAGTGATAGCAAGATTATTAATTGGAAGGCGATGATTATTCCTTTCGGAATATTGGAATTCGGAATATTGGAATATTGCAGTATCGAGAATTTAGATTTGAAATTTGATGGATCGTGAAATTACTTCGAAGCAATGATTTCGAATGGAAAAAGAGATATTTTCGAATTTTATTTAATTCTCGTGACTCTCGAATGAACTGAGAACTGATGCTTGTAATTTGAAAATTTATCAAATATATTTTTTAATGTAACCACGACTTACATCTAGTTTCAAAGACACTGATAACTAGAAAAAAAAAAAAAAAAAAAAGGAGAACAAATAAAAACGCTTAGGAAATATAATTATGACGTAGCAAATGATCTTTAACGAGCTTACACAGCTATCCGAGTGCATTATTAACTGTAATGCAGCACTCTAGCGGTGTGGCCGTTTTGAATATCGTTAAAGTTCGCAGCCTAATCGCTTAAAGCATCAAGTATCTTAAGCGTAAAGTTCCTGATAGAATAGTTACCACGATTCAGCCTCGAATGGGCTACGAGTGCTTCCCGAAAACTATTTCGAGATAACGATGGTTAAAGTTTTGCCGCTTTGTTGTTGTCTAACAAGCAATTTTAATTGGGTGCGCGATAAAACGAAAATCGAAAACGTTCCTGGCGTGCAAAACCGATTTCTTCTCTACGAATCGAATCGCGTAACGAACCGATATCCTTTTCCGTCCAATTCGAATAATTGGCGTGCGTATATTTCATTTTCAACGAAATTTTCAACAAAAAAAAAAAAAAAAGAGAGAAAAAACAAATAGCCCGAACGTTATGAAATCGTGTTATTACATTACAAAATATGAGATTTGAATGAACTGATGATGATAAAGGGCAATTAAGATAATTTATACATACACGTATAACCGTTCTTGAAAAGGAAAAAAAATATCGTTTTCAAAATTCTTACACATTTTGTATAATATTCCCATAATTAACAGCGTGATAAAACGGAAAAACTAAAAATCAAATCGAGCCAATAACGAGTCGCGATCGCAATACCTGTATTTTCCTCTTTTTTTTTTATTTTTTACTTTTTTTTTTTTTTTAATATTTGCACTAGCCAACAGTGTCTATCCCCGTCAGTGTTATTATCGATAAAACGCAATTCACGAAAAACAGAAGCGGAAACAAAAGCGTGGAATAACGTTCGCTTGGATAGAAAAATACTCGTCAACGCGTACTGTCGCCTCGACACTACCTTCCATATCGCTAATTATAACGCGTGTAACCGAGAACAGGAGCCATTTCCCTGGCCAAAGCGAAGCAGATGCAATTTGCCGGTGAAAATTCGTATCAAAGCTGATCCGGTAATTATGCAGGTAATGGCAACCTCTAGCTAATTTTGTACGGCTGCTTGACTACGCGCTTGAATTTATCGCCGTGCCGCGATTCGATCAGGTTCGGTTACACAACGATTCGCGCGATAATGGGTAATTTGTGCTATTCGTTCAGACATGGATAGGCCGAGGTTGGTTGGTTACGTTTGGTGAAATGTGATCGTAGGTAATTAGACTCGAATAATTATACAGGATCTGTTATTTTTCGAAGAGTATTCAACACTGCTTTGTTATTTGAGCAGAGGATAAGGAGGCATCGCGTCTTGTTCGAAAACTTGTGATTAAGGGAACGATGGCAATGATGGATTGCCAGATTTCTTCAGTTTATGAAATATGGCGAGAGAGAGAGAGAGAGAGAGAGAGAGAGAGAGAGAGAGAGAGAGAGAGAAGTGAAAGAAGAAAATACGATTGAAATCATCGTTTGGATGGATCGTTTCATTTCGTATAAAGTTTGATCGCGAGATATACTTGCGATTCGTTGATTAAATCTAATTACAGAATTTCGCGTTTAATTATATGGAATAGTCAACGTGTGATTCATATTGTATTTGTTCGATCAACCTATCTTTGTTTTAACGTTTCTAATTGCTCTAGCTTGGAAATATCGAACTGAATATTTGCCTTCGAAATAATAAAATACGTTTTAAAAAAATATAGAATAAATCTAGTTGACTTTTGGAGACGAAGTGTGAATAATGGAGTATAAAAAGATACGAATTCTGAGAAAAACAGAGTAAAAACTCACCGTGAAAATAATAGTTCTACCAATATCTTTTTCCCCTCCTTTCCTTTTAAAGAACATAATAAAACGTATAAATACTTTTAGGTTGAAATGACAGGGTTGACAGGGACTATCAAATTCGATCATCAGGGATTCCGCTCAGATTTTATCCTCGACATCATCGAGCTGAACAACAAAGAGGGGTTGAAGAAGATAGGGACCTGGAACAGCACGAAGGGAATAAATTTTACGAGGAGTTACAAGGAGGAGTACACTCAAATCGTGGAGAATCTTCAAAACAAGACTTTTATCGTAACGACTATACTGGTGAGTAATACGAAAATTTAAATCCCGAAAACCCGTCGCGTTTAAAACTCGAATTAATAAATTAATTATAAAATAATTATTACGATACGTAATAATTATCCTCGGCTAACACGCGGGAAACCATAATATTCACACGGAATATTCGCATCGCGCGTGTTAATAATTCCGGAATTAAATATTACAGATGACGTACCAGATTTATTATAGAAAAAAAAAGTTCTCATAAATTTTTTCTCCCGCGCCGCGCGTCGGGGCGCAAAAGAAAAATCTAGGTTACACGTAAATCTAGGAGGCTGGAGTAACATTCTCGTTATCTCGCTATCTTTTAAACCGAGATTTCTACATTCATAGCCAAATTAATTACCCATTCGTTAATTAAAAACTTTATTACTTAGATTCATTCCTCCTAGATGTATAGATATAGTAACACCGATATTCTTTCTTCCATAGAATACAAATCCTCGACTCTGCGCTTCCGAGCGACACATTTGAATAAACGCGAATTAACAGAAAAATACATACGCGGTTGGATTTCAGGATTCACGGACAGGAATTCTCAATTTTTCAACCCCCGACATTTCAGCCCTCGTTTCAATCAACTAAAGTAATTTTCCTCCAATCTCCCCTGTTTCTCTCCTCCCCTGTCTGTCTCCTCCGCTTTCCAGATCCGGATTTAGAAAAAAAAAAAAAAAAAAATTTGTTCTCTTCTTCAACGTTCTTCAACGTGCTTCAACGTGGCGGCCGCGTAAATCATTCGCGTATCGTTAAAATCTCGACTATTTGTTTTTCTGGAATGAAAAGGAAACAGGAACAGGGACGAGCGAACGCCACCCGGAACCGAGAGTAACTTCCTCTTCCTTTTTCTCGCCAACTCGTTAGCTTTTTCTTCTCTGTCTCTCTCTGTCTCTCTCTCTCTCTCCCTCGCCCTCTATTCCTTTCGTCCCCTCTCTCACTCTCCGCTTGCTCTTGTTCTTGCGAAGACGAAGGAGAAACCGAAAAGAGATACGCGATTTAATTGAAGTTTTCACGATGAGTCGGCCGGTTGGCTTTTACTTATTCCCGGGCTAATTGCAACGATGAGTAATGCAGTACTCGCGAATATATTAAACGGGCAGATGTTCCTTTTAGGGGAAGAGCGTTGGGTTAAAGGAAACGTCGAATTTCACGGTGAGCGATGATAAGAGGTGGTCGTTGAGGGTTTAAAGAGGCGAGGACTTAACCTTTAATTACTCGACTCAGTTTTTGAACTGATTTGGATCTAATAGAAGTTAGAAATCTAGTTATACTTTTGCGTAAACCGCGATAATAAATTTCGAACGAATAATTATTTTTAGATTCGATTCGAAAAGGCACATGTTTTTTTTTTTTTTTTTTTTTTAAAGAACGTTTAGAAAGAAACGTTTGAGAAAAAAAATCATTTGTTCTTTAAATTTTAATCAAACGATTCGAAAGATCGAATCCTCATATTCTTTCGAATCGTTAAAACGTTTCTCATCTTTAAATAATGTACAGCTTGGCCGTTTTAAAATAAGCGTGCTTTATTTACGGCGATATTAATCGGATTTCTTCTCCAACTTAATTAACGGATCGTGTTAATTTGCCTCTTGAAAGTCGCGCTCAAGTTTCGACGCGCTAATAGCGATACTGATTGTCATTAAATCTGCCATTATTAGATATTAAAAGCTAACGAGGAGCATGATCTTTTTATAGATTTTCCGGAAGAGTGACGGAATCTTGATGAAATTTAGAAGAAAACTTTCGAGTTAGCACCACGGATATAAATATATAATCTATCAATTCTAAATATGGAGTTATGTCCATTTTTAAAATGGTAGAAGAGTTTCTTACTCTCTTTTCACAGAATACAACGCGCCGTCATGAAAATCCGCCGACAATATTAATAAATGAACTTTTTTACAAACTCCTTCCGAGTTTCGTGAACTTTGGTCACGTTCAAGTTTCCTTTTCCCCTTGCGCGTTGCCAACTTTTTAACAAAGTTTTTTTCGAAAAATCGACGCCTCGCCACGCCACGTCCGCCACATCAATTTCCACGAACCTCCGCCGAAATTCGACGCGAGTGGCGGCATGTAGCTTCGCGCGAACACGCGTCAACACGCGGAATTCTAAACCCGCGCGATGTGCCCGAAATCGCGCGCGGATTCGCGTAATCACGCGAATAACCCCGCAATTTTTCAACTCTCAACACGGGTTATCGTTCACGTTCCATCGATCCTTTCACACGGGGAAAGGAGTCTCGTCGATGCGACAGCTCTTTCGATCAGCGTGCAATATGCGATCAGTTTCAATCCTTGCTCCTTGTAAATCCGTATCGATCAGACATACAAGAAATCGCTCCACAATTTTTTATATTCGAAATCTCGTTTCCGAATGCAATTTAAGTTTCTCGACGGGTCTCGTTTCTTTACAAGTTGACAGGCTATTCACGATGATTCGTATACTTTGAATTCTCACGATACTTGACATATACAATATTTTATTGCTACATAAATCGTTACTTAATGTTTTCATTCGAGTAAGATCGATAATGTTTAATCGATCAGTGAGGATAACGAATCTAACTCCGAGAATAAAGTCGCATACGAAAAAAAAATCATTTCGCATTCTTTTTCACACGACCTAGAAACAACCTTCGCATATTCCTTTAAAATATTCATAATCATCACTATCCACTTTTCCCTTACACGAATACTCGTATCGTAACCAATTCTATGTATCGCGCGCGAAATACGATATATATACATATCCTGAAAGAGAGAATTCGATTTATTGATCGACGAGCTCATTACCCCATACAGAGCGCCCCATACTGCATGAGGAAAGTCTCGAGCAACAAGCTGGTCGGAAACGCACAGTTCGAGGGATACAGCGTCGACTTGATTTACGAGATATCGAAGATCCTCGGCTTCAATTACACGTTCCGGCTGGTGCCGGATGAACGTTACGGGTCCTACAACAAAAAGACGAAAGAGTGGGACGGTATGATGAAAGAACTGTTGGATCAGAAGGCGGATCTAGCGATCGCGGATCTGACCATCACGTACGATCGGGAACAGGCGGTCGACTTCACCATGCCGTTCATGAATCTGGGTGAGCAGCGATCTGTTTCATCTACGATTCCCTCTTAACCGCCTCCCCAAATTGGTTTAACGATCGTGATATCCTATATATGTATATACGCGAAAAAGGGTTGATTGGGGTTTTTTTTCTTCGTTTGTAAAAAAAAAAAAAAAAAAAAAAATTCGTCCTTCGTACCTTCTCCGGGGAAAGATTCGATTTTTCGTCCGGATATACGGGGAATTATAAACCAAAGGGAGCACGGAATATTGGATAGTTTCTCGATAAAGTTTTTCCAGAGGATTGATGTATTTTAAAATACAATTTCATTGCTCTGTTTTATTTCTCGATACCGTCGAATTAATAATATAAAAAAATTTTGTCGCAGTGGTTCAACGAAAAGATTTTGACACGCGGCAAATTGTGGATCGTTGATAGAACAGTTTTGAAGAATTTTTTAAATGGAATGAAATAGAATGTATTTTAAAATAAAGTCCAACGTGTTACGTGTCATCCAAATTGGAGCTGCTGTCAAATTGGAGATTAATATGGAAAATTTTATTAGGGGGAGGGGGAGGTTTGAAAATTATTTCCGATATGTTAAAAATTTCATTTCAGAGATAAGTTACCCAATAACGTCTAATAAACGATACATCCATACATTTTTTCCCACCTCGCGCTCCAATTTCACGATGGATTTACACATACCGTATGAAATTTTCAGGGATCAGCATATTGTATCGTAAGCCTATAAAGCAGGCACCGAATCTCTTCTCATTCCTCAGCCCGCTCAGCCTCGATGTTTGGATTTATATGGCGACAGCTTATCTAGGCGTATCCGTGCTGCTCTTCATATTAGCCAGGCAAGTGAATCCATTTTACAAAAATGATAAAAATATTCTACCGGCACCGGTGAAATTTCGTGTACGAAAAATCTCTGAACCTTAATATGCTTCCATCGTGTATCGGGTATCCGATTTGCGAAATTTGCCAACTAAAAAATTTCACACGCGAAACCAACACTCGTTCCTCCTGCACCAAATTAATAATCCATCGAGGACAAATTTTTTTTAAAGATAATTTTCCTAATCACAATTTTCACAGAAATCTTTTCTACGAGTACTACGTTGTTACGTTCCATTTAAGAGATCGAGATTCTCTTAAAAAAAAAAAAAAAAAAAATATCGTAAAGATTTCTGTTAGATTCGCTTTTTTTTTTTTTAACTTTCGTCGACGTTACCTACCTCTCTCGAAGATAGAGAGAGAGACTCTAATTTCACGGTCGACCGTTCGAGTCGAACACGAACAGTCCGGTGACGCGAACAAAAGCAACGTAAGATCAGATACACAAGCGAAGGAAGGGAGACATACGTACACGTAACGCGTAGTAGTCGTGCATACGTAGTTACACACGCCGACTTGTCGCATTCCATCCGACCTCTTTTTCCCCGCTGTCGACGCGGTTAATCTTCATACGTAAATGGCGAACGAATCCCGAATGGAAGATAGATGCGCATCCGATCTGAAAAGGATTCAGACTGTTGTCTAGAGTTGATCAGTTTAGATTCACCCCGTACGAGTGGTACAATCCTCATCCGTGCAACAAAAACCCGGACCATCTGGAGAATCGCTTCAAGCTGCTCAACTGCATGTGGTTCACCATCGGATCCTTAATGCGGCAGGGCTCTGACATTCTGCCCAAGTAAGCCGTTAGATTGGCATCACGGTCGCTTCATCATTTTCCTTTGGTTTTTCTTTTTTCTTTCTTTTTTTTTTTTTTCTTTCGTTTCTGTCTCTTTCTTGTTTCAATCGTTCCGTTCGAACCGTTCTACTTTCGACGCACCTTCTCTCGAAATTTGTTTATCGAACTTGTGTTTGATTTCGTTGTGTACGATAATCCCGAAATTGTCCTTCGAGGCGGAGAACTGTCGTCGATTGTGCGCAAATTGTGCATGCAAATCGGTATGTAACCGGCGATCCACTTTCGTAACGATTTACTCGTTACGAACGGAACGCAGCACACCAGGGTCCGCCTTGTCTTGCGAACGACCACGAGAGGATGAATTATTCAACGAAACGATTTCGTTGGGACCGCTTTCAGATGTTCCATTGCGAATCGATTGTTTACGCGATGATTGATCGAGAGATTGATCGAGTCGCCGGTACGAGTCGCGGTGCGTAATATTTCAAGGCGAGAAAATCTTGAAAGAAAGATTTTAGAATATTCTAAAGCGTGTACAGTTACAGTGCAACGAAAACGAAACGAGAGAATAACTTGGCTGCTGGCTACGATAAGAAATATAATGCCCGTAATGCGTTAAGAAATAGAAGTCGAGTAAACTTAAAAATAAGAAGTCGAAGTAGCGGTGCTAGAGTCTCTTTAGAACGGGAAAGTAGGAATGGAAAGTTTTTATTAAACGGGGAGGGGAGGGGAAAAAATTCGATGTTCTCATTTCTAGGAGATTATATTGCGGAAGGAGATTGTATAGATCGTAGATTGCAAGAAAGTTTGACAATTGTCGCGTAAGTTGTTCGAATACAGTCTCGAATTTAGCCTCTCCTTACAGAACGTGTGCCTTACGCGTGTCTTAACTGAATATTACGATTAACGAGGCACGATCTTCAGACTCGTAATTACATTTTTCAAACGCGTAAAAAGAGAATGGCACGTAAGAAATTCTCTTTGAAGAGATACATTTCTCCTTTCGATAATATTATTCTGCTAATTGCTCCTGGATTCGCGAATAACAACGTAATAATTACTGTTAATATTATTTCACGGTAGTAATAATTAATTGTACGATTAACTTGATATTAATTTAATTCCGCGTTTATAATTTTAAAAAAATATGTGAGATAAAAATACACGCGATATTCTCTGAACAGGAAAGTAAAACGGGTCAAAGAAGAAGGAGAATAAAAGCGAGCTTAACTATTTTCCTTGAAATTTTCTAGCATATTGTAATTCGAAGAAAAAAGAAAAGAAAAAAATAGAATTGTTTCAAAAATTGAGCGATAGATATTCGAATGGCGAACCGGTGCCGGAAGACCGATCGGACGCGACGAATTTCGGGGTCGCCAGCATCGATTGGATGCTGCTCGAATGGTATTTCGCGCGCGTGCTGCGACTCTGAGGTCTAATCCTCTCCCTTCTCCTTTCACGTGTGTGCAGGTTCAGCCCCTACGAGTGGGAGAATCCCCATCCGTGCAACGGACAATCCGAGGTCCTCGAGAACGAGTTCACCCTGATGAACTCGCTCTGGTTCACCATAGGCTCGCTCATGCAGCAAGGCTCTGATATAGCGCCGAAGTAAGTGAAACGAAGAAAACACGAAGGAAAACCAGCCTTAGCAACGTAATGTTTATCTCTTTGTATTTACGTGTCGTGTTTACAGTGGTTCGATCGATCGTTCCGTACGATTCGTCGTAGAAAACGTTATTATTACGAAACTAATGAAAGATTTAAAGAAAATAACGATTCTCGAAACGTAGTTAATCGTTTATAGTCGTGGAAGTTGTGCTGGATTGCGAGATTACGGGCTTGAAATAATTTTGAAAATAATATTTAGATTGAGCTGGATCGCGACACGTCCTTTCTGCTCGAAACTCGATCCGAAATTGAAACTCGATTCGGCAACGATCGGGCGCGACCGTCAGAGTTCGGAATTCAGCCGATCGTATTCGATTATTGCCGACTCCGTCCGAAGACAGCCGCTTCTATCTCGTATAGAGTATCGAGCAGGGAACGAGAGAGATACGATTCAGCCCGAATTTACCCGAATTTTCCCGAAGTTCGAATACGCGGAACGATTCGCGGAACACTTCTTTTTTTAATCGCAATTTCATTTTGCAAGACGATAGAAATTTAGATGGGATAGGAAAGACGAGATTCGGGGCCGTAGATGTTATCTAACGTAACGATAGCCTGGATATGCTATATCGTAGGCTTGCTGCAACCGATCACGAAACTTGCCGCCGTGCTTTGCTATCATTTTAGCGTTATGTGTCGTCGACAAAAACGATTATCATGATGGCGACATTTCGTTTAGCGGAAGTTGTTGCTGGTTTTCTCTTCGAGTAAAACAATATTCGCAGAGTAATCCTTTGAAAGAGCTGATAAGTTGATTATCGATCAAGTATCATGATTTAAATGAAATCGATGATTCTGGCAACGATTAATGTATTCGCAAAGGAGAAACGATGAAATTTTGAATCGATAGATACGTAATAGAAATTAGATCGGAATTTTAGAGCAGCAACAACTTCGTTTCATTCATCATCCAACACTTTCACCGTTCGTTTGGTGAGAGATCATCGTTCGTTGTCTGTATATTTCCTACGATACGGCCCCTATCCTCGAAACGGTTATTGTAGTCTTTTTTTTTTTTTTCATATTTGCATTTAATTATTGTTATGCATATACTAGAATCGAACAAAAGATTATTTGAAATGCATGAAATCGTTGTAGCTGGTTGTAGAAGCTTGATGTATATTTATTTCTCGATGTATATTTAGATAAAGTAGATATTCGTCGAAATACTCGCGTTCAATTTTATGACATTATCGCGATGATTGCAAAATAGGATAGAATAAAATCACTGTTACACGTTTCTTTCGAAAGCTGCTCGTGCATACACGACTAATATGTATTTCCAACTTCACAATCGATCCTTTCAAAAGCGATACTTGGACGAATCACGTTTGGAGAGATCGAGATTCGATCTTCGAGCAAATACACGGTTGTTTTAAATTCATATCAGAGAAACGCGTTTCCGATTGACCCACGTCTCCGAAGGAAATTTCCGATTGCACCGGCTGAATTCTCGTTTCCCAGGGCCGTGTCGACGCGGATAGTGGCGGGTATGTGGTGGTTCTTCACTTTGATCATGATTTCTTCGTACACTGCCAACTTGGCCGCGTTCCTCACCGTCGAGAGGATGGATTCGCCGATCGAGAGCGCCGAGGATCTTGCAAAGCAGACGAAAATCAAATACGGAGCTCTCAAAGGAGGCAGCACCGCGGCCTTTTTCAGGGTAAGATCGGATGAATAACTCACGAGAGCTTCACAGACGACCGCGTAATCGTTTTTTTATCAACACGCTGCCGCTCGTCAATATTCCGATACTCCGATGTATACCACGTTCGTAATGACGATTCGTGAATTGTATTATATAGGGAGAGAACGCGTAGAAAGAATCGATGGGTTGGGAATTAAAGTTTACATAATTTTACATAATTGTACAATATTCTACGTTAAATGGTATTTGGATACTTTCGAGCGGTAGTGTTACACATACGTATACACTATTTCCATTTAGCAAGGAACGTGCGTACGTACACGTATCGTAGCACGATAAGGTGATACAAGAATGTGGAAATTGTATCGGCAAATGCCCCACGGGGGTAGAGAGTTTCGCGAGAAACGAGAAGAAACGCGAGAGGAAGAGCGTGTTGCTTGAGGAAACATGGCGGCCATTACTTAACGCTAATTCCCGTTTAATTTCGGTATTATGAAACTTTATTACAACAGATTACGCCCAAGGAGGAGAAAGAACGGAAGCACCCTCGTTTATATAAATTTGTTCTCTTAACTTTTTATCAACTCGTCTTTGCCTAACTAAAACTAAAAAAAAAAAGAAAAAGAAAAAGAAAACAATACGTAATAATAAACTTGTTCCTCCTACCAAATATCACTTGGTTCGCGCGTAGAGAGAGATCTCGATAAATAAACTTCTTTATTTAAAAAATTTTTAAACTAAATACTTTTTCCTATTCGAAAATAGTACGATTTCCACGCGAAATCGAAGGAATAAATAACGAAGGAATACGGTTAATCTTGGAGGAAAGGCGAGAAAATTGCTATAGTCGTGAATATAAACGAAAATTGCACGCATCGGAGCGTATCGATCGTCGCGATGGGGGAGGGGAGGGGCGACGTGATTTCGTCGAGGAACCGCAGGGAGGCGGCTGCGGGTTGCGTAATAGGCCTCCTTGAAGATTAACCAATTTCGACGTTCCATCGTTTAATGGCACGCGTGCTCGACCATGAAATTCCTCGCGTGATCTAGGATTCCAATTTCTCGACGTACCAGCGCATGTGGTCCTTCATGGATTCGGCAAAGCCGTCGGTATTTACAACGAGCAACGTCGAGGGTATGGAACGAGTGATCAAGGGTAAAGGCAGTTACGCGTTCCTAATGGAATCCACCTCCATCGAATACGTAATCGAGAGAAACTGTGATCTTACCCAAATCGGTGGCCTCTTGGACTCGAAGGGATACGGGATAGCCATGCCCCCGAGTAAGTAATTAACCTATCTCGCCGGCGTATATAAACAGTCAGAACGTACGAAATCGTTGGACGGACGGGTCTGTTAGCAGATTAAAGCGCGGTCGGGGTAGTTGATCGAGGAGATAGAGCTATATTTCGGCCGATCAACGCGTATATTCTTGATTTATGGTACGCTCGTGAACGGCGTCGAATCGGAAAGATTATTTTTTTCACGGTTCGTTCCATAGATTTATAGGGGAATTAGAAAAATATCGGTCAGAGTTCGTAGTTCGTACAAGTTTCTGCCATTTAAATACAACGAACGCGAGATACGAGCAAGCAATAATAATATTGTCGATGGATTTTCGAAAGGAATTTTTCCAGATCGCGATTAATTTCTATCTTGGAAATCTATCTGATATGTTTTCTTCGCGAATTTCATCGGATTCGTAAGTCGTAGAGATGCACTAAAAATCTCAAAAATTCGAGAAAGTTTCGTTGTTGCAAGAAAATCCAATAGAATTCGATCGATCGAAATCGAACGGTCTCGCGAGGATACGAGGAACGACAAGACTTGGAAGGAAACTTGGCGAAAAGTTTTCACATCCGCGATAAAAACAAGTTTGCCGTTGCTCAAAACGACCTTGGAACTTCAGATTCACCGTACAGAACGGCCATAAGCGGAGCCATACTGAAGCTGCAGGAAGAGGGGAAGTTACATTTGCTGAAGACTCGGTGGTGGAAGGAGAAACGTGGCGGAGGATCTTGTAGGGTGAGCATGCAAACACTGATCCTCTCTACTCTTTTACACGAGTCGCAGAGATGCACTCGATCAAACATATCCACCAAATTCTCCGATATCCCCTCGAATGTGTATTTTTGCCTCGAGTTTCCATCCCAACAAGTACGAGCCTCGAAAAAAAAAAAAAAAGATAGACAGTCATTCCGCGAAAAGATTGTTAAATCATGGCCTCGCTACTGTGACGCGCCTCTTATCTACCTGTATTATTCCGGATGAATTCCCGCGACTGTTCGTCGTTGGAATTTCTCGTCCAAAACCACCATCACGCTTTGGATGGAATGACTTGGAATGGAACTCGTTATTATGCCTGTTGTTTGAAGAATGTAAAAGAAAAAAAAAAAAATCTCTCCCCTTATTTTTCGTTGAAGATCGTCTCGTGGAGATTTGAAAAGTAAAGTTGCGCGGTTACTTTTTAAAAGAAGAAAAAAAGTCTCGTCGGCATTTCTCTAGAATCCTCGATGTTCTCTAGAGTGCTCGATTGTTTTTAAAAAAATCGGAATTTTTCCTCTCTCTCTCTCTCTCACAACAACAAGACTCTCATCTCCCCTTCTCCCTTTCCCCATTTTCTCCTTTCGAAATTCGACCCATACTCCATCTATCAAAAAAAAAAAAAAAAAAAAAAATTCTACCGCTATAAATTCTTGATAAGAAATTGAGAAAAGTGAGAAAAACAAAAAAAAAAAAAAAACAAAAATCTCTGTTCTGCCAACAGGACGATATCTCGAAGAGCAGCTCGACGGCGAACGAGCTGGGATTGGCGAACGTCGGCGGCGTGTTCGTGGTGCTGATGGGCGGTATGGGGATCGCTTGCGTGATCGCGGTATGCGAGTTCGTCTGGAAAAGCCGGAAGGTCGCCATCGAGGAACGGGTGAGTGAGGTCAGATAGCACGTCGAAGAGGGCGTGATCGCGCCTGAAGTAACGTCGTCTAACACGCACCTCGATCCCGACGCGATCTACCCAGACATGCCGCGCGAATACATCAGTTGATGTTCGCGCGATGGTGGAGTTCCTCTTTAATGGTCACGGTGCACCCACAAAACCACTCGGGTCTGATTCGTCTGATTTCTCGCTCGCGTGCGTACGCGTGTGTGCGATCGATGGAGTCACGATGGGAGGGGTCGAAAAAAAAAATCGAGCAGAATTTTCCGCGAAAAGGTGGTTCTTATTGGAATCGTAACTGGGTTGCGGGTTAATTCGCGTTTCCGTCCTTCGTTCTTCGCCATCTTATGGATATGAAAGAAATGTAGAAAGATTGCGAGACAAGTGGAGGGGGATATTGGGACGGAAAATTTTTTTGTTCCAAAGTAATTATTCTTGCTTCGATCCTCGTAGAGGATACGATGAAAAATTCGAAGTTTTCGATGATGTTTGTATATATGTATATATATATATATATTTTTTTTTTTTATTTTTTTTTATCGAGGAATATATGGAATGATATGATCAGATAATGGTGTTGTTCAATTCGAATCCGAGGTAGTTGAACGGTTGGAATTGGATATTCGAGTTACGATTCGAGGAAATGGAAATTGAAGGGTAGAAATGGGGTTACGCAGAGTGTATTTTATGGTTACGAAATGAAAGCGCAATTCGTGTGTGATAAATAGGTACCGAAGATTTCGATTATAACGGTGTCCATGATATTTCAATGGGCGATTGTTATTGGCTAAATGAATTACGCGTAACGAAAATTATGAGAACAGTATAATGATCACAGCGATCTGAGGGCGCTTGAGAATTTTATTATTTCCCGTGAAATAAAGTGGAAATTCGTATAAGAGGAATAAAATTCGAATAAATATAAAATAATTTAACTAAACACTGTAAACTCTCGTTTTACGAAGGCAAAAGTAAAAAAAACCCATTGGTGTTAATTTATTGTAAAACTATAAAACATATTCAACTTTACCAATGAATATCGCAACGCAATTTTCCAATCTCGATTTTCTCAAAAACTAGACCTCGTACAAAAAAATTTCGTTCAATTTTTTTCAATTTATTCTCTAGAAAAAAAAAAAAAAAAAAGAAAGAAAAAAAAATCCCATCGTGTCTATTTTCACACGTCGTTCACGCGATCGCGCATTTCCGCATACATCTCAACCTCCTTCCTCAATAGACGAAATCACGAACAGAATTCGAATCGATAGCCATTAGATTAAAAAGGCAGGAAAAATTCCACGGGATCCGATGATGATGAAATTAAGACACGGCTCGTAGAAACTCGAGCGCGAAAACCTGGTACGGAATCTCGCGTGTCTACAATATGTATTCGAGCTGCCGTTTGCGTACGTTCAAGCGGTAGGCAAACAGGCAAGTATTTGAGAAGGACTCGTCCACAAATACGGATATGCAGGTTTGCGCCGGTGACCTCGTGTACTCGTAAGCAAACAATTCCATCAACCGGCAAACGTCTGGTATTGCTGTACTCCTTTGGAGCCCGCGCTACTTCACAGCGCTAGTAGCAGCAGAATAGTAGCCGCGATACTCCAACCCCGAATAACCCTGAGCTGCTAACAGAAAAGGGCGCGAACGCGAGTCGAGGATCTTAATTGGTCTCTTCGTTGATCGCCTCGAGAAAAAGTAATTTTTTGAATCCAATTTATCTATTCGCCTATCTATTATTTCTATTGTTAATTAATTTCGCTTTCGAATAATAATTCAATTTTTGTTTATTAGACGGAAAAATCGTTTCATCCATCGTTCGATCCATCCTTTTTTTCAAATTCATTTTTTCTCCTCCCAGAGGGAAGGAAATGTTTCGACGCGACTTAATCGATTAGATATCATCTGAGAACGCAATCTTACCCGAGTATTTTCGTGTTCTGTTTTAGAAGCAGAAATCCTCGGGGAAACCGATCTGCGAAGCTTTTACCGATCTACACTAGCGGACGAACTTGTAGGGGTACGGTTGATTTGAACCAAAATAACAAACAAAAAAAAATATATATATATTATATATATATTAAAAAGAAAAAGGGAGTGTGAAACGAAACGATAGAGAAAGAAACAGGCACACCCAAAAACTGATTCCTATGCCCGAGAAAAGCGTATCTGACCCGACGGACCTAAGGAGGAACTCCACCACCAGTGATCGAGAAAATTGTGTGAGAACATTGACAGAAACAAACTGTAAAAAAGTTGAAACGAAACGAAATAATCAAAAAAACGAAAAAACAAAAAACAAAAAAAAAAAAAAGAAGGAGCAACGATCCTCGACCTTTCCAGTTTTTTTCTCTTACCCCCATCTCGAAAATTTCGACAATCTAAATGTTATCGATGGAACACTAGCCAATCGATATACATTATCGGATAACGTACGGTGTCGTTGGAATTTCATTAAGCAGAGAGAAAGAGAGAGAGAGAGAGGAATGAGATCAAAACGATAAGGAAGGGAAAAAAGGGAACGGAAAGAAGAAGAAAGAGAGGAGAATTCGAAAAGAACGTTTGATTTGGAAAAAAAAAAAAAAAGAAAGATCGTTTTCTTTTCGTCCGCAACCTCCCCTAATTAACGATGGTGAAATGGTGCAGATATTGAAATTGGAAAGGTCAACGCGTTTGCCATTTGCTCATATCAAACCTTTTTAGATTAATTGACGACCGACTTGAAGCCTCGCAGCGAGATGGAAATGGTATCTCGGACGGATTGTTGAATGAAAGGACAAAAAAGAAAGAAAAAGGATAGCAAAAAAAATTATAGACGCGGCGTGGCTTCTTTTTTTTCCTTTTCTAATGGACTCTCGCCGCGATCGCGACTGAATCATCGTGCTATTACACAGTAACGAACTATTTACACACGAACAATCACCGATTTTATACCGACTAGATTAATTAATGTATAGCGTCAGATTGATAACATTTTATTGTATGTACATATTGCGTAGCTCAAAGGAGTGAATCGATGCTTCGCGAGGGAGCGTGCACGCTTATTTCTATAAACGAAACGAGAATAATAAAAGATATGTAAGCAGAAGTGAAATATGATGGAACGGCGAGCCTGAATATCGAATTAAATGGTGTATATATAAGAAAATTTTTCCAATGCACACCGGAAGCAAGCCTGCACACTCCTCGGTGATTGAGGATAAACTCCGTTATTTGCGATAGACGATATTCTATATATGTCTCGATTCGTATATAAAAAAAAGAAAGAAAGAAAGAAAGAAAGAAAAAAAAAAAACTTTGTACGATAAAAGAAACGATAGGAAAAGAGTACACAAAAAAAAGTGATCGCAATCGATACGTAGGTGTTAAAGAACGTTAAACATGTTTTTTTTTGGAAAGGATACGCGCACGACGTGTGACAGTTTAGTATGACATTGTTAGTTGTGTCGCAATGTTTCTTGCCTCTCTTTCTCTCCCGCCATTGGATACGCAGGAGGTGAGCAACTCTTTTCTACTATTGTCTCTATCTCTGCTACTCGTTGTGTCACAGCACTGGTCCGATCGACGGATGATCGTAGAGCATGAGATATATTTTTTCCCGAACGAACGATACTTTTTTTTTTTGTCGCGTTCGTTATATACCGCAATGATGGAAATGGAATTATTAAAAATATAGAGAATTTTTATGAGACGCGATAAAAATTTACCGCGAAAATCTTTGATTCGATTGATTTGTTTAAAGTTGTTTAAACGTTGTTATATCTGTTGTTGTTATGTATATATGTATATATATATTTTTTAAACGAATAATATATATTATAGAGAAGTTTATCAAGAAAAAAATGAAATAACGTTTCAACAAAAGAGAGGTGTGTTTCCATTTCCATCGGTGTTGTTTCACTGTTATTAATTGAAAAGGATAAAAAAGAAAAAGAAGTAATTCTTGTTGCGCAAGTATGATGTGATTACAATCATTTTTTCAATCCTTTGTTATCCCTTTTTTGCGAACTGAATTTTCTAATTAATTATCACTTCATTTTGCCTGTTTACAGCTTGGATGTCTCGTTTTCAAGATTTATTCAAATAAAAATGTGCAAACTGTTGTTATATTAAATTATTTCAGTTGAAAAGATCGCACGAATAATTATAAGAAATATACTATTTACATATTTGCTTGATCCTTTATACTCTTTCTTTCTCATCTTATCCACAGCTTTTATTAAAATAATATTATTAATCGATGTCGCATGCATGTGTTTAAACGGATTATTTCTTTATTTCGACAATGTCAGCTTCGTGCCATGACGCGTCGTACAAACCGATTTTTGAATCCGATTCAAAATTTTCCTTCTATCGTATCGAGTCACAATTCAACTCTCGATCGGTATTTTTAATAGCGACTCCATTTACGATCCAACCTGCAACCCTGAAATGATATTGGACGATGATCGACTGCCATGTCTTTAACCCTTTACGTATTGATGCGTTCGGTAATGGTTCAACGTAAATCAACGATTGATTCACTGCCACATCTTCAACTCCATTTAAAACGCAATTGATCCTATACCTCTCTCTTCGAAAGAAGATTGAGAGAAAGTTCGCATAAAGATTTCCTTTAAACGATAATTCCCTTTGCGTACTTCCCTCTTCACACGAGTTAAATAATATTAACAAAATTACCAACAATATACATAAAATTCAATGTAAATTCTAACTCGACGCGTTATACACGTCGATATAGAATTGAATGAAAACTTTGACGAAACGACATGCATTTCAAATCAAGCATGATTTCGTCTAAAAATAAAAAAAATTTGACACCGCGAACGTTTTGCACGCGTCATCGCATATGGCTGACGACGCCTTCCGCGAAGGAAGCAAGGATAAAGAGGATGCAGCGGTGGTTTGCTGGAACTTTCCAGAAATCGGTGTGCTCCGAGATGGCGAGCGAGCTGCGTTACGCGCTGGACTGCGGGAACGGGACG